GCACATTGAAATTTTAACAAAAGCCCAACTAGAACCCTCCTAAAATTGCACTTCTACTGAAAGAGGGAGAACTAGGAAAGGCTAGGTACGTCACCATGATGGCCTAAATAGAAGCCATTGAATGGATCCCAGGGTTAGGGGTGTCAATAGACCGGTTTTAGATCAGATTCATCCAAATTAAAATTAATTTGGACAGATTAGATGGACCAACGAGACATATTGAATTGGACCAGTCCAAACTTAATGGTCCAAAGTACTTATTGGATTGGATTGGACTTGATTCATCCATAATGAATTTATATTGGATTGGGTTGGGTTGAGCCAATGTCTGACTCATTGATAGAAGATGAGAATATAAGTGTCAATGGATCAGGTTTGGATTAGAATTAATCTAATTTAAAATAAATTTGAACAGATTAAACAGTCCAGACAATGAATTGAACCAGTCCAAAATATTCATTGAATTAGATTGAACATGGTTCATTTGTAATGGGTTCACATTGGACTGGATCGGATTGAACCAAATCCAGTCCAATTGACACCCCTAGATGCAACTCAGACGGGCTCAGGTTGAGTGTTTGATAAAATTAGAATGAGCCAAGTCGAGGGCCCAGGCTTGAGCTGTATAAATTCTTCAGTTGAAGTACCTGATTTGCACCCCTGATGCAAATTGTGAATTACTTCAAAGCTTATCTCTACCCCTGACTCCCCTGTAACGTGATGTAATTAAACTAAGAAAAGATTAAGGGGCTGTTTGATAATAACTAATGTAGCCGAACTGAATAGCTTATTACTTTGTCTTTTTATTAAATAAATAAGTTCCTAACGAGGTAATGATAATGAACTCCCTGATGGCTAAACTGAAGTTGAATAAGAGCCTGTTTGGGAGGGATTGAGTGTCGTGTTGGCTGAATCGAAGAAGCAACTAAATATAGCTTCACTGGGAAGTTGATTTCTCAGCCCATGTAAGCGTGCTTTTGGCTTTTCGGTTTTTTCATCAAACATGGTTTCATGACTTTCTGTGTGGGGCCTACCTGGCAACATAAGAAGTCACTGCACGAAAGCCCTCCCAAACGGGCACTAAATCTATTTATAGTAATTATACACCCCTTATGCAAATCTGTTATCTAGGTTCAGTTTAGAAAGAGTACAAATATACATTTGTAGAATATAAAATAATATAAAATACAAGGTTTTACACTCTACACATTTGTATTTGTACTCTTTCCAAACTGAGCCCTAATAAATGAAGTGGTTTTTACCAAAATAAGAGGATAAAGTGGTTGAGCTGAATGACCTATTGCTTTCTCCTTAATGGGTTCTACTAAATAAGTTAGTAAGGAGGTTGTGAATCCTTAATAGTTAAATCTGAAATTGGGTTAATTACTATACCTCTATACCCTCAAATATGTTATTTTTAATTGCTTTATCCACTAAAACACCAAGTAATTCAGCTCAGCCAATTCAGTTTTTATGAAACAGCATAAATCGCAACCATTAATTAGTACGCATTCATTCCTAATGGGCTGGGCTGTCTCTGCGTTTGGAAATGGCCCAGCCTCAACTCTGATTTTTTTATTTGGATTTTAATTGACGGCCAAGGAATACTTAATTAACTAATTGAGTGATGACAAAACATGCCTCTATTATTCAAGGAGATATTCTGTTTGGATTTTTTTTGGATGCTTTCTTAGCCTTGTTCCTTTCCTAAGTGAAGTCACCTTCATAAATGCCCTCCCTATTGTTGAAAATTTCACATATTTTTGTTATTTTCCAAATAAAAATTATTATACATGCAGAAAATAAATAAAAAATATATACAGAGAAGTACGGACAGGTTCATTGTAGAATTTTGATTTCCACTGCAGTTTACACTATTTTTAAAAGTCAATTACCCCCACTTTATGCATCAATGCCCGCCCATGAATTGGCATCAATTCCAAGCTGATACCTACCCCAATTGTACTTTTGTGGCTATGAATTTCTGACCTTGGGCTGAACCGTCATTCTCCCAAATATGTAAGCATTTTCTGACACAAAAGAAGGAAAATGAGTGTCGAGTCTGTTCTATACTGAAATCTCACCTCGCCACTTTTGAACAAATGTTTTAAGGGTTAGCAGTTCAACCATTCAGTCAATTCGTGATGTTTTAAAAAAATAAAAAAATGGTTTAAAAACATTTTTCGGGTCTAATGGGTTGATGATTCGATCACCCGAATCAAGGAATCATTGACCAATTCAATGGTTTTTAGGGAAATAACAATTCAAGGCTGAAACAGAACCAGTGCTTTGACTGGTTCTAGACTGAACGGTTCAATCATCTGGATGAGCAATTTGGGCCTGAATCTCAACTGCATCAGCTCACCTTCTTTACCTGACCACTTCAGAACATCCATACCCAGAACGAAGAATCATGAACTTGGCAAAAGGCCCTAAGCTCAATTCGCACGGCCCTAAGCCCAAGATTTTATCCAATCTAAGGGTCTGTTTGGTTCACAGTTGGAATCAGAATTGGAATGGCCTATTCCTATATCAGAATTAGAATGGCCTATTCCTATAATCTGTTTGATTCATAGAGGAATGAAAATGGAAATTAGAATCAACAGGAATGAGATTTCATTGCTAAGGGAGGGAGGGATAGGGAATAACCATTCCCTCAAATGGGGAAATGCCATTCCATCAGGAATAGAAAAAAAAATTTCACTCTACCCAACCAAATAGTTAGAATCGGAATAGCCCATTTCAATTTCAATTCCAATTCAAAACCCCTATTCCCATGAATCAAATAGGGCCTAAGATTTGGCCCAACGGCCCCAGCCCAAATTTAAGGTCCAAGGTTTGGATAAAAATGGCTCAGGATCAGGTACTTGCTTGACCTAGCCTGAACTTAGGATTCATAAACACATAAATCCATACTCAACCGTTGAACTTGGGTTAGATAAAGACTGCGTTTCAGTTCAGGAACATCCAGACCATCCCGAGCTTGGGCTAACCTTATCCAGGCCTAGCACAGAACCAGTCCAGTTTCAGCCTCACACAAAGTGACAAAACCCACAGTGGCGGATCTGGATCATGCTGATCTTTTTTCTGATATAGCTGATATAAAACACTAATGGTGGGTCCAGATTCCTTGAGATGAAGACACTTGGCAATGTTTTGGCTGGTCTGTCAGCTGTCACCTCCCATTATGTGCTTTCTCCAAGTCTAAATCCTCATTAGAGAGCATATTCTTTGCCTATAAATTTGATAAATACCATTCACTAATAAATAAGCTAGGCAACCTAGGGGAGAGTAAATTTAGGGTAAATTACAAAGAACCCTTTATATTATGGGGTCAGTGACAAAAACCCCTGTATTTTTTTTTTTTGCCACAAAGACCCACTAAACTTTTTATATTGGGACAAATACTCCTCTCGACTGTTAAGTCAGATAATGGAAAACATTAAATTACCAAATTACTTCATTAAATTTTCTCTATTTTCTTTTTTTTGGCCATTTTCTCTTAAAACTCTCCAACCTTGAATTCCACCTACAGTGCGTTGATCATGTCTATAGCTCCAAGAAACTATCCATCTCTCTGTTCCTTTCCACCACTGCCAAGAACAACTCCCTCCAAGCAAAATCCTTGCCTCACCTTTCCTTGCAGTTATTATTTTTTTGAACTACTCATTCTTGGACTCTCTAGTCTGTATTTACAATACCCAGTTGAGAAAACCATCAATTTTCGTTGCTAAATCTGAACCATCGAAAGCAGATGACGGAGGTGAAGTTGGAGAAGCAGAAGAACAGTACACGGAGTATGAGGTAGAACTTTAGCAGCCATATGGGTTGAAGTTTGCAAAAGGTTGGGACGGTGGAACTGGGATGTTCCACTGTTGGGGACAAAATACTTGCTACCAGGTTTTATTTGCTTGTGAATTGCATTTCTGATCAAAATCGTCATGATTTTCCTTTTTTTATTCTTTATAAAATTTGGACAGATTCCAAAATTAACTTGTTATTTTTAGTGAATTGGGTTGGTCCAAAGGAATTTATTCAAATATATTAATGGATTTGTTGGTTTTGAGAGTCTAGAATAGATAAGCTAGCAGAGAAAAGTTTATGAGTTTTCATTAACTTTGTAGTTTGTACCGAATAATGGGCCTAGACAATCTGGAATGCTTAATGTTGGAGATTTGCTACTTGTTATAAGCTTTGTTATTTGTACATTTGCATTTTTTGTTTTGATGTCATTCACAAATCTTCAAATCAGAATTCATCGACATGATCTTTATACACACGTTATTAGTACATCAGCTGTGTGCCTTGATGGAAATTCACCTCCAAACACAAAAAGCCTCTGGGCTGTGGTAACATCCCGCAAAAACACACGTTTGATCACCAGAATTGGTTATTAGGTGAGCATCTTCATCTGGAGTTTGGGAGGGTCAGCCCATTTTCTTGACTGTCTATGGGTCATCTGCTTCAACGAAAAACCATGTTTTTGGCTTTCGAGTAGTCATTTTGGGCTCTCAGGGTCTCTGGGGCGATGCTTCTTTTGATGAATATCTTGTGGTCTAGCTTACCTAGAAATTAGTCTTACTATCAAATGGAGAAGTCTGTGAGGAAAGGGAGGAAAGATGAATGGTTCAAAGTATATAAAAAGTTAAATGATTTCATAAATTAAAGAAAAGGGTAATTTGGGTATTTAAAAATTTTAAAACAGTCAGACAAAAATTTTTTAAAGTTAATTGACGGAATGTTAATAGAAGAAGGAGGTTTTTATTTAACGGCTAAAGTTCAGGAGAGTCTTTATCACTGACCCCATAATACAGGGGGTCCTTGTCATTTACCCTAATTTTTATTAACTAGCCGGGCCCCCAAAGGAAGGACACGAGGAGTTCGGTTGGGTGAAGAGAATGGCACAAAAAACCGATTTTCTTCTGAAAAGCGGGTGGCATTTTCGAGATTCTTGCGAAAGACGAATGCCTTTTTTAACCTCGTAGATATAAAAGGGAGAGAAATATCAGGACTCTGCTGGTATACTCTGCTTATATCTCATCTGCAGCATCAGCCTGAGATTTTCATTCTTTTTTCTTTTCTATTCTATTTTCCAATTTTTTTTTTTGCATTCGATTGAAATGAATTGCCTTCAGAATCTTCCGAGGTTAATTGATAATTTTTTTCATATGTTCTCGATTTTATCTCTTCGTTGGATTGAGTTTCCTTTTAAATGGGAATCTTTCTTTGATTTCAGATCCTCTTCTATGCCTTTAAATGGTTTTAGAAGCCATGAAAGAAAGCATATAAGCTTGGTTAATCTACTGGTATACTCATTGTACATGACTGTCTACGAATGTTAAATTCTTAATTGTGGCTTGATGGTTATTAGCTTTCTTCACTGAATGCAGAACCTGGTGAATAAAACTAATCCTCCCCAAATTAACACTCTGAAGGTACTTGTATGTTATTTGAAGGTTCAATTATCAAGCCTATGTAACTAGTTTAATTGTTTTTAAATGCCTAGAAACTCTGTTTTACTTTATGTTCTGTTTTTTTATCATGGTGCATAGATATATTCTGAATGTATATCTTGTATTTTTTTTCCTAATTCCTCACTTTGTCATGATTTATATTAATTTTCAAGATTTTATGTCTTTTCTTATTAATACATGTTCTAGTCATATTCAATTATTTGGCTTTTTTCCTTGTCCTACCGAAAAAAGTATAAGACTGATCGAGTCTCTATATTCATTTAAGACTCAACCCAATATGCTTTCTAATTTGAGTCGAGTTTTGCACTGTTAAAACATAGAAGTTGAAGGGAAATGGCTAATTACTCTTCCCTTTATCGTCATTGTTGCTGTTGTTCAATCCAAGACAAAACGGAAGACAGTAAATTGTACATACAAATCAAGTCCTTTGAACAACCTACTGTAATGAAACTGGAAGAAATGAGAGATCCTTAATTTTACATGCATAGCAAGACCATAATAATTGCTTATTTCAGATTTGTTACTTCCAAATGATAAATAACCGGTTCTATGGTGGGAAAATTAAAAGGTCAGCATCCAATAGAGAATATAATTTGAGTTTTCTCAAGTCTCAACTAAACCATATTGTCCTTGAATATGCCTATAAATGGTTTTAACAGGGTCATCAGGTAAGCAGATCAACAATCCAATCTAAATGAACCTTTAATTCCAATATGTCAGTTGCGATGCCATTGATACTAAATGAGACTATTTTGAACATGTATATGTGAAAAGATGATTAACATTGTTCTCTTCAGGCATTTGCTGGTCCAATGTCCAGTACTGAGATGAGTGGAGCTGAAGAACAAGAAGAGAAATCTGATATATATAGTAATAACATGACCCAAGCTATGGGTGCCGGTAAGTTCAATAACCATCCTATGGATTGGTTTGTAGGTGGGAGATAACCTACAGGAAATTTTCCTTATATGTGATGTTTGTGCGTTCATCTTCAGGAGTCTATATTGATGGCATGTATAGAATACAACACTAACAATCACGGCTAAATGCCTCCCAACAATGTCCCAGATTGTCCTCATTCAATCAGTGCTAATTCATTTGTCACCTGCTTCATGTCCATTACAACCGAACTATGAACAATGCCCAAAATCATATTTTCTTGGTTTTTCTTCTATATTGTTCTGAGGCCCCACTGACTATTTGTTTCTAAATGTTTTAAATACAGTGTTAACCTATAGACATGAACTGGGAATGAACTACGACTTTATCCATCCAGACTTGATTGTAGGGTCATGTCTACAGGTAATCCATGTATCTGCTTTTAAATTTAATAATGTTTATCCATTCTATATTTATCATCTAACTTCAAGTTCTCTCATACGCAGACTCCTGAAGATGTTGACAAGCTTCGCAACATTGGAGTTAAAACTATATTTTGCTTACAACAAGATCCAGACCTTGAGTATCCCAAAATTGTTTTGGAAAGAAGAAATTATTGCCTCTTTTGCTCTCAAATTACCTGGAATACTATTTCAGACAAGGCAGCTATAACATGTTTGTCTTTTGAAGGCCATACATTTGATTGTTTCCTTTACCAGTATTATTAGATATTTTGGGGTTGATATTGGTGCCATCCAAGAATATGCAAAAAAGTGTGGTGATATTGAGCACTTGCGTGCTCGAATACGGTAAGTTTTGCTGACATGGTAACCGTTTTGATAACTCCCATCAATAGATCTCAGTTTTTTTTTTTTTTGTATTTCTAAAAGATATATATCTTTATTAATACTGATTTATCTTCAATTTATTTACGTTAATCTTCTTTACATTTGCATTTGCATTAATCTCCGATTCATTCCTTACAGTTTGTTTGCTTTCTATGCTTCATTCAATAAACCAATATCATTTGAAATGAAACAGGGATTTTGATGCCTTTGATTTGCGGATGAGGCTTCCAGCTGTGGTAAGCAAATTATACAAGGCCATAAATCGCAATGGTGGTGTGACTTACATACATTGTACTGCTGGGATGGGAAGGGCTCCTGCTGTTGCGGTAAGAGTTACAATGAGTATGTAAGCTCTTTTCTGAAGGAAATGTGATGCATTTTATTCCTAAAACTTTTTTTAAGTCATAAGATAAACTTTTATTTTGTTAATGGTTCGGTTAGCACTGGTTCAGTTCTAGGTCTGAAATAAGAAATAAAGAGAGAAGGAGAAGAAGAAAAAGAAGAGAGAAGAAAAATAGAGACTTTGACCAGAGAAAAAGAACACACTCTCTCAGCCGACTCCCCTCTTATTTATAGGTTATGTATCTTGATGTAAAAAGACAATTATGTCCCTCTTAAGTATGGGACACAACTTAAAACAAAGACAAAATATACAACTCAACTCTAATTACATGTCAAAAGACCAAACTATCCTTATGGCTGCCGACTCTAACATATTTTAAAGAGTTATTCCTAAAACTTGTTTTAAGAGTAAGCCTGTCCGTTACTATTGTATATTTGTATCGTCCCCTCCAGTCCTATCTTTTGGACTTCTTGGGTCTCTTCTTTTTTATCATATTTTTTCAATCATGTTAACCATTAACATCATCATGTAAGCCTTGTTCGAACCATATGGGGTTGGATACATGAATCATGTTTTGCCATTCTGTTCTGTTCAGTGCCATTTCCAGTACTTTAGTTTCAACCAGTCTCTAAAAGTTTTGGTCCTAATGTGGGCCTGGGCTGGAAATTATCACCCCTACCATGCATAGAGATGGATCTTTTTATGAAATTAAGGTCCTAACTATCTTGGGTTTTGGGAGGTGTGGACTGGACACAGACCTAACCTTTGGTATATTTGCACAAAGTGCCTTGGATTTTACCATTGCATGCCAAGAAATGGCTCCTTTTTGCATTCCAAGTTGTTCTAGATTTAAGATTGAGCTTGGGCTAGCCAATTCAAGCTTTGACTTTTGGTTGTGATGGACCCGGGCCTAAGACCCAAACTCCAGATCTTAGGATTGAGACTCTATTGATCTTAAACCCAAAAAAAAACTTTTGGGAAACTCACCTAAAATTGTTAAACCCTTTGTGGTCACGAGGGGAAAACAAAGCTTATCTGTGGTGTTAGATTTTATGATCCAATCATCAAACTATTTGAAAACTTGAACATCTGGCAAAAGTCATAGAAGGTATACCTTGTGGCTCTCTTTCACAGTTTCTTCTTTGCAAGAATGAGAAACATCTTGGTTATCTGATCTTTTAAATTACAGATTTAATTTCTCATTGGCCCCTTTTGTGATTCTCTTTCTTTGTTTTCTGTGGTCTTTCATCAATTTATTTTTGTTTTATACGATAACAATTGGAATTCTTAACAGTAATATATTGAAAGGTTTTATAAAATGCAGTTGGCATACATGTATTGGGTTCAAGGTTACAAGCTGAGTGAAGCTCACAGTTTTCTACTGGTAACTCTCAATTCCTCCCGCAGTTATGGTGATATACTACGAACTTAATGTGTTTCTTGTTCTTGTTGAAAATTTTGTTGAGTGCATATTGTGGTCTTGGGAGGGGTGGGTAATACATAAAGTGTCTGCTCGCAGACTCAAACCCCAATTCTACCATTCCACCAAGCAATGGCCCCTCATATTGCCAAAAAGCATGAACTCAAATTTGGCATATTGCCAAGCAATTTGCCAATGGCCCCTCAAAACTGTGTCAGCTTGTCACAGAGGTGCACTGTATTTTGTGGATCACCTGCTAATATCCCTGAAATAACATTAAAAAGTCACAATACAGACATGTATAAATGACACACTACAAAGTAAATATCTGTAATTTCTGTATGCATGCATTGCAATGGTATTACTCATATGTTAATTAAATAGTTTTTCTGTTTAGAACTATTTCAGTTTTTAATTTAGAAGTTGCAGTAGTTAACTTGGGGGAGGCTGATAGTCCTAGTATCCTGCATTGAGTGGGAAGAAAGTAAACTGAGCTCAGTCTGTTATATAGACCACCCAAGTTACTAAATGTACCTTTTACGGTGCTTGCATCCAAGGATCAAAAAATTGCAACATATCAGGTCGTATTGGCCAATATGTATTGTATCAGCAATCCCCCAATACGCCCCTATTACAGGTGTTTCAGGACCTGGCCTGGTTCAGGGAGTAGACAGGCCTTAAACTGACCCCCCTGAACCAATTTGAAAAAAAAAAAAAAACTAAAAAAAATAAAGTGCAGCACAATACAGGCCAATACACCCCAACTGGCGTATCAGCCTGCATTGATATTTAGAACCTTGCTTGCATCATAAGTGAGAGCATGGTTTTAGAAAAGAGCTTATTGATTCTAAAAGATTTTTTGAGAAATGATAAGGTAATATTTGTATTATCAGTATACTGTAAAGCTCAGATTACAGTGTGTCATATATGCAACATGTACAGCCAGAAACTATACATCAGATCTCAGTGAAGTCCTCAAAAAATGAGCTTTCCAAAACCATAAAAAAATTGCTAGAAAAGCCAGGTCCTTCTGTGAACTTATTTGACTATCCAAATAGATTATTGTGATAAAAAAACTGATTGTGTGGAATTCTGCGAAGAGATCATTGGCTGATAACCAGGAATGAAGAGATGCCATTGCCTGCCAGACCACCTTATCTATTCCTACTCTTCCCCTCAAAAAATCCTTCTATTTCCTCTCTTTCCATAGCACCCAACATACTGCATGGGGTACTGTGCTCCACAGTAGTTTTCCCTTCTGATTTAAACCTGGCAACTTCCAGGACTGCATGAGCTCAAACAAACTCCTTGGCTGACACCAGGTAACATTCAGCAGCCCACAGAAATGGTTATATAAGAGACTAACTACTTTGCAATTCACAAGAAGATGATCAATTGACTCTGCCTCCTGATCACACATAACACAGTCCATAGAATCCAGCAACATCCCCCTCCTCTCTAATTTAACCTCCAAAAGGCATTTCCTCTTCACATCAGACCACATAAAGAAGTTGATCTTGGATGGGATATGCCAGATAAAGGGATTTGACAGAAAACTTACCTATCCCAGGGGAAAGAGGTTTCTGTGTTCACATAAAGGGATTTGACAGAAAACTTACCTATCTCTTCAAATTGATTGTCACTTGCATAATTACATATATGGAAGATAACATATTTATTTACTCATAGCAAAGTTTAACTCACATAATCCCGTCAGGAACAGGCCTTGTAATGCTACAAATAAATATAGCTTTTGAAATTACCTTTTCCTTATAAGATTGTATAAACTATAAATTTTCTCAACCCAAAATATTGGTTATTGGCTGTTGGAGGAACCATGTTGGTAAGGGGATTTATTTTCTTAATAAATCTTTGATCTTCATGTCCCTGAATTTGTTCAGCATTTCTTTTCTTGCAGAGTAAACGTTCATGCTGCCCAAAATTGGATGCCATTAGGAGTTCAACGGCTGACATTGTGAGCTCTCACCCCACTTGTGTGAAAAAATATTTTTTCTAGGATATTTAGACTTAGCTATGTTGTTATTTTTAGCTCACAGGCTTTTCCAAGCATCTTGTCACTTTGACATGGGAAGATAATGACTGCTCCTTGGTGGAAATATCAGGACTTGATATTGGATGGGGGCAGGTAACATTTTGAAATTACACCAAAAATTATGTTCTGTACTTGTTTGTATTGTGAATGGTATTTAACTCTTGTATTTGTTTTTCTCAAAATTCAAAACCCCAGCTATGGATAAGCTTCCTGCAACTAATATGTAAGCACAAGTTTACAATCCAATTTATTGAAACATCTCATACTTGAGTAATATGTCGTTTCCTCTCCCTCAAAAGAGCCATTCCTATTTTAAGATGTTGAGATGTTAATTCCTATTTACATACATATGTATGTATAGAGAGAGAGAGATTACACGTTACTGTAGAGAACACTGATGTGGACCCCACTGTGTTCGTATGGCAGCATATTTCTGTTAGTTTTGTCAGTGTTAGTTGGTAGTTATTTCAGCTTGTTATTTCAGCTTCATTATTAGTTTATTTGCCATGTAAGCAATTAGGGCAATTCAGCCCTTTTACAATTAGTCAACATATATAAATATTAAGAGTGGGTCGGCTGATATCAAGACCAACCCTCTTTCCTTTCAAAAATCTCTTCGTGTGCTTCTTCTCTTCTCTCCTTCTCTTCTTCTCTTCTGAAATTTCTTCATTCTTTTTCTTTTGAATTCAAGACTGATCGTAGTCTTGATCGACTACTTGGTATCAGAGCCAACCTAGGAGCTCTTGTGTTAGTCTAATTAGATTGACTACATGAGAATCTCCTAGGTTTAGAAGTTTTTCAACAAAGGAGGATCGGCTGATTCTTGGAGGTTACTAGTAGTGTGCGGCTGCTACTAAGAAGATTGTAGAAGGCTGGGAGAGTTCCAGTAGTTAGGAAGAATCAGAAAAGGCTTCGGATCCTCAAGATTAGGGTTTTGCATCAAACAGAAGGTGGTGGCCAAAGATTTTCTTTCATAAAGTAAGTTTTTTCCTTGAGAATAACTTTGAAAAAAATCATCTTGATCTATTATGAGAGGTGCGGCTGGAAAATCTGTGCTTTTCCTTTAGGGTTTTGAGAGAAAACCCTAAAATTCAGAACTATTGTTGGTTTCAGATCAGATTTTGAACTGGTTTCATACAAAATTCTGTTTTCTTTGTTCTTTGGAAGACCTAGGCTGGCTGTTATCAGTTGTTTGGGTGTTGTTTTTCTATTGCAGATATTTAAAAAGTCTTTTTTATTAATTCTTGACCAAGAATGGAGTTCAAGAATCAGGGGAAAGGTGTTTTTGGGACTAGCAATTTTGGTAACATGTCTGAGAATGCCTTTCAGATTACAACTGTGAAGTTTGATGGATCAAACTACTTAGAATGGGCTCAATCGGCCATGATGGCCATTGGGGGTAGAGGAAAGCTCAGCTACTTGTTGGGAGATGTGAAAGAACCAACTAAGGAGGACCAAACTTATACCAAATGGGTTCAGGAGAACTATTTGGTTATGACATGGCTGTGCAACTCTATGCAGCCACATATCAGTCGAAATTATTTGTGGGAAAAAACAGCCAAGGAAATCTAGGATGTCATGAAAGAAACTTACTCCCAATCCCTTAATGTTGCTAGGGCTTATGAATTGAAGTGTGAGGTTAACAACCTTAAGCAAGGAGAGAAACCAGTCTCGGTTTACTTCTCTACCTTGTAATCTCTGTGGCATGAAATCGACCACCTAGAAACACTTGAGTGGGAAATTCAGAATGATGCACAGGCTTATAGAAAGCAAGTTGGAACTAATAGGGTTTTTGAATTCCTAGCTGGTCTGAATCCTGACTATGATATTGTGAGACAACAACTACTAACAAGGGACAGTGTGACCTTACCTCAAGCCTACTCCTTAGTGCATAGTGAAGAGACTAGGAGAAAGGTTATGCAGCATCAGCCCTTCCCACCAGCCTTGGCAGCAATTAAACCTAAGTTTGGGGGTGATACTGAGAGGGATATAAAGAAGGAAGATAAGTAGGATCTAGTGTGTGAACATTGCAAGAAACCTAAGCATACTAAAGACACATGTTGGAAGCTGCACCCTCATCTAGTTCCAGCAAAACTCAGGAACAAAAGGGGTAATGCTAATACGGCTGTTAATACTGATGGTGCATCCTCATCGGGCACAAAAGGCATGCCTCTAGACACCCTAGCTGCTGTTCGGGCTGCCCTGACTCAGTTGGAAAAGGAAGTTAGGAATTCAGCTCAATCATCTCAACCCCTATCAGCTCCTCCCACATTAGCCTTTGCTCATTCAGGTACATGGGCCTCAACTTATCATGCTTCAGATCTGTTAGAATGTTAGAGTGATGTTCGGCTGATAAGAGTTCTTATTAGCCCATTCTTATGTTTAACTTATCTTGTAACTGGGCTTATGTTAATGGGCCTAATCCTATTTAATGATTTAAGTCATCTGGGTGTCCCATCACTAATCAGGGGCATCCCAGTAATTTCTTGTACCTTATACTA